ACTTGTCACTGACTTTCTGGATGTCCCAGAAGCTACTACTTATCTGCACCAGCTGCTTTCCATGGCTCCTTCCCAGGTCCAACTAGTAGTACACCAAGAAATCACCACCTTGTGTTTCAGTGTCTCTCCCATCATAAATGGAAAGTCGTTCCGTAACATAGGCCCTCCCTGGCCTGTGGCATGCTGGATACACAAATACAGCCAGGGGAAAGGAAATAAAATGAAAAGTTTCTCCTTACTATGACAAAAATATTTACAGTGGGGAATATTACACAAATAAATCCTGAGGAGTCTGTAAAACAGATCCATAGTACAATTCCATTTTGTCTATATTCCCCACGAACAAATCCATCAATAAATGCACGCTCGAGGGCTTCCCCTGCGTGTCTCCTTGGTACATGTTTGTTTGTGAATAGGGTCAGACCCGTGTTCCTTAGGACAAGCCCGGTGGTGTCTCAGTAACCTGCATATTGAGGGCTCTCACTTACTGGGACACTGCTCAGTCCATCCTAATGACAAAAGATTCTCCCCATTTTCTCACGACTCCAAAAGGGACTGCCAGGCATATGTCAATACATGTGGTGGCAGAGCCTTCTAGGCCTCATTGTTCCTAGCTGTGGAGTATACACTAACCGGGACGTGACCAGAAACTTATTGGCAACCATAGAAATAACCACAAAAGAGGCTGCTTGGGACATTAAGGCTGAGCAAACTCTTTAAATGTACTTGCCTGGATAGTTCTTGACAAAGCGTTACACTTGATTTTCTCTTGGAGACACAGAGAGGAGTCTGTGCAGTGATCAATACCACCTGTTGTACTTACAGCAATGCTTCTGGTAAAGTAAAAACCAAGCTAAGGGAAATCTGCCAGCGGTCTACCTGGCTACAGTATGTGTCTACCACAGACCCAACGAGTGTTCTGAGCTTTTCCCCTGGATACTCCACGTTTTCCAGTCCATCATTCAAGGACTCTTAAAGTTCAAGCTCACAATTCTGTTTCTAGGGCTTACAGTTTACATCATAGGCTGCTATTCAATTAAATATTACAATAATACCAGAGACTGACATACTAGCATGTTGATGCAGCACCCTCAGCCGAGTGTAACAAGACAATTTCATTCCTGTAATCCCGACTCACTCTCTGACTGTGCCCCTTGTCAGCAAAAAGAAGCAAGTGTAGCCATTGCCCGATTCCCACCATATTAGCTCTTACACCTCAGGACTGAGAAGAGATCAAGCCCAGGGGGAACTAAAACTGTCCCTAAGAAAATGATATAAAATTGATTAAGGGAAAAAATTTAACTCTGCTTTCAGGACAAACAGTGGTAATCATTAAGCCAGCTCTCCCTTTGGCCCACTTCTTTGTAGCTGGTCACTGATTTCTACCCTAGGATAATGTAGCCCTTGTCACAAGACCTTTTGGTTCTTTCCTTTACATACGTAAAATCTAAGATATTGTGAGATGGTATTCTGCGTGAGTTTCTCCTTTAGGTTCTGTATACCAAAAAAAAAAAAAAAAAAAAAAAAAACCATCAACATACTGGTCAACAAGGCAAAACATAGTTTTTACAAAAAAGTAAAAAATCAGCCAGGCATCATGGCAGAGGTCTGCAGTACCAGCTGTTCAGGAGTTCAGAGGTGGCAGGATCATTTGAACCTGAAAGGCAGAAGTTTCAATGAGCTGAGATCACGCTGCTGAAATGCAGTTGGGAAACAGTGAAAGACCATGTGTCAAAAACAAAAAACAAAAATCAAAACACACACACACACACACACACACACACACACACACACACACACACA